AGTTTGTGTCCTTCTAAGCCGGTTTTTGTCCCTGAAGAGATGTCATTCATTTCTAATTCTTGAGGTGTCACTTCATTTCTGGACTTTTCAAATGCGTGCTTTCCTTTTGTGATTATTTTCTCAATGACTTTAGTTCACGAGAAAAACAAAACAAGAAACACAAAACAATACACACAACAGAATCTAGACTCTATACAGAGACCCGGTGGCCGCCAGAGGGGGTGGGGGCGGGGGCGGGGACGAGGAGGCACAGACGTCCAGGGATGCGGCCAGTCCCGCAGGCGAGCAGCACAGCATGAGACTGCCGGGGTCGCTGTGCTGATGTGCTGTGACAGGTGGCGACCACACTCGCACACAGCTGCTGAGTCTGGGTCGTGCCCCGGAACTAGTAACAACACACTGCGTTTGCTTCCGTCAGAAAGCCCAGTTCATGTCTGTCCATTCCGCAGGCACGTCCCTCTGGCTGGCGCTCGCCTGGAGGAGACTTCTCATTCTCAGCTCTGTGTGCATTTGACTTTTTCTTTTCCTTCCCCCCACCCCCCAACAGGGAGGGTGCAAGTGAGCGAGGGGAGGGAGAGAAGCAGGGCTCACCAGAGGCGGAACTCAAGCTCACCCGATGAGGGACTCGAACTCATGAACCATGAGATCATGACCTGAGCCAAAGTCAGATGCGTAACTGATGGAGCCACCCAGGTGCCCTGATACTTTTCTGATACTTTTTTATTTTTATTTTTTAATTTTTTAAACATTTATTTATTATTGGGGCGCCTGGGTGGCTTAGTTGGTTAAGCGTCTGACTTTCGCTTAGGTCATGATCTCGCGGTTCGTGGGTTCAAGCCCCGCGTCGGGCTCTGTGCTGACTGCCAGCTCAGAGCCTGGAGCCTGTTTCAGAGTCTGTCACTCCCTCTCTCTCTGACCCTCCCCTGCTCACGCTGTCTCTCTCTCTCTCTCCTAGAAATAAATAAAAATTAAAAAAACAAAAAACAAAAAAAAACATTTATTTATTATTGACAGACAATGAGAGACAGAGCACAAGCAGGGGTGGGGCAGAGAGAGAGGGAGACACAGAATCCTAAGCAGGCTCCAGGCTCTGAGCTGTCAGAGCCCGACGCGGGGCTCGAACCCACGAACTGTGAGATCATGACTTGAGCCGAAGTTGGACGCTTAACGGACTGAGCCACCCAGGCGTAAGAGTGTCACGAACTTCCAGAAGGAAGTGGACGTTAGGAGAACACTTCTAATTCTACAGAGCTCCCCCTTCTGCTGTTCTGGGGAAACTTAAAACGTGTGTCTCTGCTGCCGGGCTTCCGGCTCCCGCCCCGCCTGGGCCCAGCCTTCTCTTTCCTTCCTGTCCCTCTCCTGCTGGACTTCCGTTCCGCTCCTGACCTGGCAGGTAGTCCTCGGTGTGGGACGCCTCCTGGCAGGGAGCCCGGTCAGGCTGGCGCTGGGAGCCGCAAGGGGGTGTCCGCCCCACCCTGCAGCCCCCTCACCCGCGGCGCTGGCAGCCGCCATCGGAAGGAGCGCAGCCCCGCCCGGCCCAGCGTCCCTCCCGGGCACCTGCCAGCTGGCCCGGGCCTGGGCCCTGCCTCCGTCCATCTCGTGCTCCACCGCTCAACCCTGGGGCTTGGGGCTGTAGCTGGGCTGCGCAGACACCTCACCACCTCGTTCTGCAGCGAACGACGTCCACGGGGGGTTTTACTGTGGGAGAAAATAAACAACAGACTTTGCCACTTTAATCACTTTTAAGCACAACTCAGATGTCCTCAGGGTTGAGGCTCTGCAGTCTCAGTGCCGTCTCCAAACGGGGCTGCCTCCAGCCTCTTCCCAGAAGCCCTGCTTCCCAAAGAAACGATTCATCGGCTCATCACGTTTTACCGAGGACACCCCTGCCCTGACCGGAGGGCTGAATGGCGCCCTACACGGCTGTGCTCAGCGGTCACAGAAGCGCCGCGCTTACAGAGAAACACGTGCTACAGGTCTGGCGGCGCAACGTAACGCTGGGACCGTTGTCCGGGACGTCCCACTCCGTGGCCACGCCCCGCGGCGGCCGAGAGGTGGCAGCAGAGACGGGGGCTCGCCCGTTTCTCAGGCCTCCGCCGTGAGAATCCGATGCTAAACCGAAGGCCTGGTAAAGGCAGGCCTGACCTGAGGACCCGGAGGGGGCTCAGAGCATGGGAGGACCGGGTGTGGACCCCGCGCTTCCTGCAGCCGCGGGCCAAGGCGTCAGCGAGGCCCTCGCGCTGAGCGGGGTGAAGCCTGCAGCCGGCTCCTCTGCTGACAGACTCAGCCGAGCTCGTGACATGCAGGCACTCCCAGCTGCTGCCCGCGCCGCCCGCCCGGCCCGTCCCCCGGCCCGTCCCCTCGCCCGTCCCCCCGGCCCGCCCCCCTCGGCCCGTCCCCCTGCCCCGGCCCCCGGCCCGGCCCCCCGGCCCGTCCCCCCGGCCCGCCCCCCCCGGCCCGTCCCCCCGGCCCGTCCCCTCGCCCCGTCCCCCCGGCCCGTCCCCCCGGCCCGTCCCCCTCGCCCGTCCCCCCGGCCCGCCCCCCCCGGCCCGTCCCCCCGGCCCGTCCCCTCGCCCCGTCCCCCCGGCCCGTCCCCCCGGCCCGTCCCCCTCGCCCGTCCCCCCGGCCCGGCCCCTCGCCCCGTCCCCCCGGCCCGTCCCCCCGGCCCGTCCCCTCGCCCGTCCCCCCGGCCCGGCCCCTCGCCCCGTCCCCCCGCCCCGCTCCCACATACCCTGACTAGAAAAGCAAATGACAGCTCCCAACAGAGGTGGCCAGCGGCCGCTCAGCGCTCCTGGGCCCCAGCACCCTGCACCAGCTGGCAACAGGCTGCGGGGGGACGGTGGCCCAGGCTGTGGCCCGGGCTTCGGAAGGTCCGCACCTGCCCGTCGCCTTCTTCTGACGCCACGGGATTAAAGGACCCGTCGCATGACGGGAGGACCAGCGCCGGGCACCTGCCCCAGGGCTCCGCGGGCTCCGCGAAGCGCTGCGACACGCCCTCTTCCGGGGCTGAGGGAGCCACGCGCTGCGGCCGCCGTCTGGCCCCTGTGCCCGCCGGCCCGGCTCGGAAACTTGGACAATACAGCACGATCGGCTTTCAACCCCTCACGTCTCCCCAGAACGTCAGGAGGGAGACGGCTGCTTCGCACCTCACAGCAAGAAGGACACGTTGTTTTCTTTAAACAGTTCACATTTATTATCAGTAACAGTAAAAAAATCTTTTAAAGACTATCAGTATCGTATCACCAAGAGTGAGGTAATATGTTTACAAAACATTTACAGAACTTGATATGCAAGTAATGCATTTGGGAAGGAAAAGGAGTTAAGACACTAGTCAAAAAGGGAAACCAAAGAACCCTTAGCGCGGGGGGTGCGGTGCGGGGCACGGAGAGCCGGGGCGCAGTCCGGGCCCGCATGCCCGCAGCCCCTCCCCGAGAAGCAGGTGCCGTGGCCACGAGCACAGCTTGCAGGCGTCTGTGCCGCCATGCGCTCTGAACTCTCACAGGGGCACTCGACTCTCTGGGGACATGATAGGGACACTTCTGAGTCAACTGAAAAGGAGCACGTCTTCAGAATGGGGGGGGGCGCTGCAACTCAGAGAGGTCTACAAACACCCCGGGCTGGGGTGGACTGTGGAGGGAAGTGTTTTCCTGGCCACTGTCTGCAAAATCGCCATCTGAGACAGAGAGAGAGAGAGAAAGAGAGAGAGAGAGAGAGAGAGAGGAGAAGGAGAGGAACCCCCCCCTCAGGTCCTTAGAATCTGGGAGGAGGGAGCACAGATCCTGTCCTTACAATCTGGGAGAAGGGAGCACGGATTGGAAGCAGCGCAGATGTAAGTAACCCTACTGCACTTTCTGGAAATAAGGCTCTAGGTGCCACCAAGAAGCTTATCTCTTCAAAGGAAACTGCGGACGCACAGTTACGGAGCAGCCAGTGGTCGGCATGCCGGCCACCTCGGGAGCCGCACCCACCGGGGGCCCCTCCCGCCTGCGGGGCTCGCAGGGGGCACATGCGCCCTCCACACGCTCCCCCTCCGCCGCCGCCCAGCTGGGCCCTCAGAGCAGACCTGAAACACGGCGGACGGGGCTCACGGGGCCCCCGTGTACACCCGGGCCAGCCACGTGCACGCTGGCGCGTGTCTAAACACACAGCCTCTCCTGACACGACCCCACACGTCACGTCTGTATCACAAACGCTAACCTAATGCGACATCCAGACAGATCTGCAAAGAACCTGCTTTTCCCATAAACAGCTGAAGAAAACACGGGCCAGGGCGAGACGGGCCCTGCTTTGCAGGGACCAGAGAAAACAGAAGGAAGCGAAGCTCACGTTCCAATTCGCTGCTACGAAGAATCCCTTGTAACTTAACTCACTTTCTACTTTACCCGTTTTCCCCCCAGCATCACGCTGCTACCCTCCCCATACCGCCCTGCGTGCACTGCCACACACACACGCACTGCCTCCCGCGCACAAGCCCCCTGCATCACACTGCTACCCCCCTCCCCCCCGAGTGCACCGCCTCGCACGCACGCACCCGCTAGCACCACCTGACTCACACGCACCCCCGCACACTCTAACATGCATGTGCCCCCCCACTACTGCCATGGTCACACCTGCAATCACAGCCACTCGCACAACTGCCACCCCCACCCACGTGCCTGCACATGCGCACATGCCCCCAAAGCCCGCAGTTTCCTTTTACAAAGCAGCGTGGCTCCCGCAGGCCACACGCCCTCAAGGAGCAGCCGCATGGCGAGAACCCAGTTAGCTCAAGCGGACACCGGACAATTTCGAGACGGCAAACACGACTCAGTCTTCAAAATGTCCCTCCAGTGATGAGAAGGGCCCCCCGGGCTCTGGGGAGGCAGCGGGGACACCCATCCGGAGGGAGCTCTGAACTAGCGGCCGCGGGAAGGACAACACACCAAAGGGCAAGCGCATGAACCCCTTCCGCGCACTTCACGGACAGAAAAGTCCTGCTCTCAAAGTATCAGAAAGATGTGAAAAGGAGGAAAGAGAAAGTGTTTAATGATGGCGGCGGCTTCCTGGCGTCGGGGAGTCCCCGAGAGCCCCTGCACGTGGCAATGGCCGAGTCGGCGGCAGCTCCTGCGCCGGGTGGGGTGGCGGCGCCTCTGAAGGGCGGGGCGGGGTCTCATCCGCTGACGGGCAGCGTGTGGACGAGGTTGCTGGAAACATTTTTTGCATCAACTTCGGAGACAAAGTCAACCTCTTAATTGTATACAAACGACTTCTCTTTCAAGGGAGCCCTTGTGCTCTGGTTTGATTTTGTGCACACCGTATACAAAATCTATGGCTATTGAGTCAGAGTTAAAACTACCTGCTGAGAGAGTCTGGGACCGAGGACTTCGCGGACTGCCCGGACAGCTCCCCGCTCCCGAAAGGCCGAGGGGTCCACGCAGCACAGGTGGGGGGCCGGCAGCTGGCGGAGACCGGCGGGCCATCCGGGGAGCACCGGGCACTACCTGGAGACCACGGAGCCGCAGTGGGACTGGCTGGAGGAGGTGGTGGCGGCGCTCAGCTGCGAGAACCCGCTGTGGCTGGACTCCAGGCTGGTCATGGAGCCTCTGTGGGCAGCACAGGGAGGGGTGAGGCGTGAGGGTCCCGCCGCCAGCCCCCCCCACACACACTGCCTGCCCGACTTCCCGGCCGCCCGGCTCTCTGCCACCTGCTCGGCCCCCACGGCCGTCACAGAGCGGGTCCCCCGGGGCCGGGCCCCCACTGCCCGGGCACACAGAGGGTCACTCCCACCTGTACCCAAGACGCGCAACGGGGAGGGGAGCCCGTACCGGAAGTCCTCAGACCCGATCACCTCGGTGTAGTACATCACTTTGCACTTGTGGGACGACACCTGCAGGGAGGCCAGCACGTCGTCCACGCGGGGCAGGTTGGTGGCGGCGCACGCTGGCATGCTGTGGAACTTCCACTGCAGGATGTAGAAGCCTGGCCACCGAGTCACGTGCGAGCCCTGGAACAAAGAGGGCGGTGCTGCCTGAGACCTCCCTGCCCAGCCCCTCCCCCACGCCCACCCACGGCGGCTGCCACAAGGAGCATTCCCCAGCCCACCCGGACGCCAGGGACCGCTGGCCACCTTGCGGGGCGGGGGGGGAGGGCCCTGCCACTCACTTCACTACCGGGGCCAGTCCTGCAGGGGCCCCGCTGGGAGCTGGGGAGGCCCTGCAGCCTCATGGGGAGGACAGCCACCACAGGGGCAGGCGCCGGGCAGGCTGGGTGAGCTCGGGACACCCTTCACTCAGCTGTAAGGGGCTCAAAAAAGGCCATCGGACCAGGCAATGCTCTCCTGGACCTGCTTCCAACCATCTTCCCAGAGTATTCTGGCCAAAAGGATGTCAATGTAGGGGCACCTGGGGGGTCCGTAGGTTAAGCGTCCGACTTCAGCTCAGGTCATGATCTCACAGCTTGTGAGTTTGAGCCCCACAACAGGCTCTGTGCTGACAGCTCGGACCTGGAGCTGCTTCAGGTTCTGTGTTTCCCTCTCTCTGCTCCTCCCCTGTCATGTTCTGTCTCTCTCACTCAAAAATAAATAAACATTAAAAAAAATGTTAAAAGGATGTCAATCTAAAGTAGGATGTGAACGACAACCTGCAGAAACGACTTCCTCCGTTAATTCTGGGCCTGACCTCACGCTGTCCGTTACTTTTAAAGCTGAGCAAGATCCTCTTTTACTCTGCTCCTCAGCCCAGCGCACAGTGGCAGGCTTCTCTCTCCCTGAAAACTGTGAAGGCAGCAAGAGCAGACCCCATCGGGCAGCTGACCACCACTCCCAGTACGAGCGCTGACACGAACCTGCCGCAACTTAGCAAAGGAGCCGACAGAGCACTTGTACGTGAATCAGATGCTCGGCAATGACGGGCAGCAGTCCTGGGGCACAGGCGTCTCCCCCTGCTGACCTAGGGTGACCCTCCCCTGCTGACCTAGGGTGAGCCTCCTCTTGGCCGAAGCCTGCTCTCCCACTGCAATAGCGCACATAGCGCCCCTCCCTTCCTCCATGTCACTTTCGTGAAAATACCTTCTAAAAACACTCGTGCACTTTAGATACAAGTCATGGAATGAGTCCAGAACCGTCACCCAGGTCTGGGTTCTTTCTCCTCAGTGACATTCTGACCGGAGCTGAAGCGGACACGCCCCCTGCGCTCGCCCACAGACGAGAGACCCCCTCCCTTTCGAGACCACACACAGTCACGAAGGCGCACCTGCACGCTCTCCCCTTCCCTGCAGATCAGGGGTGACTCCACCATGCTGTAGTCCCGGCCCAGCTGCCACAGCCGGTCTATTAGCTGCACGTTGTTGCCGCCGGGGGAAGTGATGCTGTGCGCCCCCAGGGACTCCTTCTTGGGAGGCTGGGGCGACCTCTTGGAGTGGTAGATGTTGAAGACGATGTCCCCTTTGCACACGTCAAAATCCCAAGTGATCACCGAAGAGGCATCCACGATCTGAATGAGGATCTGGGAAAAGAGATCTCGTTAAGCAACTGAGGGGAGCACGAGACTCCACCTATGCCGTCACTATCACTGCGGCAGCTTCATCCCTGGAGGAGCTTTCCGGCCCAGCTATGTGTGTGTCGTGGGAGGGACATGTGTCATGTCAGCCATCTCTTTCCCTACAGCCACGTTCAGTCACCCAGCCTTCCAGCTCTCCCTTCTTTCGACCGATGGCTCCTGCTCATTGTCAAGTACCCCTACAGCCCGAGACGGCCCCCCTGCACGATCCTCGGTCCGCAACACCGGGTCCTGGCTGTAGAAATGCCTTATCTGCACAGCAGTAACTCAACAAGGCACAGAAGTGGTTCCACGGGCTGCCCCAGGCTGGCGAGCATGAGGAAGGTCCAGAGAAGGCGCAAGCTAAACAGAGGGCACGTGGAGGAACGGAAGGAAGCATCCCGGGCAAGGGGAGGGCACGGACACCTGCCAGGAACAGTGGCAGCCAGCGCAGGGCGGGGAGAGAAGAGCCACGTGGCACAGGGCAGGGGAGGGGCCCCCGGGGCCAAGCACCAACCTAAAACCAAACTTCCTAACTCGTGCCCCTATAGACTTTCCCAGTAGGGGCTGATCAAAGTGATACAGTTCAGAACATGACTACGGGAGGGACGTGAGAATTGAACCCAGCTGTCCGAAGCTCTGTGTTCGCTCGGAAACTTCTCCAAAGCCGAGGCCGGGGCCCCCTCTTCCCTGGAAGGGCCATCTGCTTGTCGTCAGTCAGACCCTCCCCTTCCACCACCGCCCCTTCTCACCGCAGAAGTACCACTCTGGAATCTCCCTAAAGAGCAGACTGGGGAGCACCAGAGTCCTTTCTGGGAACCGCAGGTCTCTTCCTGCGGCGAGGCAGCTCCCCAGGGGCCCAGCTCTCCCCAGACGCAGCCCCTCTGCCCACAGGCCCCCTCCCTCCTGCACTCACAAGGGGGACACTGAATTCAGCCTTCGTCTAAGGGGCAGCACTGTCCTCGATCTGCGTGTCACTTAATCCCCAAAGTGAGTTCTAGCGTTGCGATGTAGAAGCCGTTCACACTTCCACACACACCCTAGGACTCACAGCAGCGCCGTGTGCCACTGAGCTCTGTACCACAGACAAGAGGGAGTCACCGGAGGAACGGGAAATGAGAACTCCACCTCTTCGAGCCTGGTCTCCGTACAGAAAGTTAACATAAACAATCCTGAAGGCCACGTCCTGAGAATTCAAGATTTCCCTACAGGACCTAGGAACGAGGCACACCGAACGTGTCTCTGCTTCTTCAAACACGGCGACAGTCCGTCCCCCCACAGGTGGCTGGCTGGCCGTTCCAGCACACACAGAGGCACGGACACATGGTGGGTGGCAGTAAGGGCTCAGCTCCTGGCCACCAGCAGCGGCCCAAGCCCACGGCCCCTTCTCCTGACTGCCCGCTCGGCATCTAGCGCCGCGTCCTTGCAACAACCCTCAAGGCACAAAGCTGCCTGGAGTTCGGGAAAGGGGACTTGGCTGGGAGCCCTCACAGCTCAGACCGCTCACAACGTCGCCACCGGACACACGGTGTATACAAAACGCAAGCGCTCTTGCTTCCACACCAAACGTTGACAGCAAGAAGGGAATAGAAATGTGCCTTCTCCTCACTCCACTTGACCTCCGAAAATGGGCAAATTCCTTAAAATCTAAATAACCAAAGCTCAATCAGGAAAAAAGAGAAATGAAACCAGCCCTATGTAATCATTAAATCACCTAAACCCAAGAGTCAAAAATCTTGACCTTAACAGGAAAGGCCTCCTACATGCCCCTCATCCCTGCACTAAGTGGTATCTGGAAATCAGGCGGCCTGGTCTCCTTCCAAGCACAGGGGCCCTGAGAGATGCCTGCCCTGCAGTGTAGACATGTGCCGCCACAAAAGGTTTAGGGGAAAAAATAAAAAGCAATCAACAACCTAAAGACAAAGACCAGAAAAGCATTTGATTTCCCTAAACTACATTCTATTCAGAAGGCCGGCCAAAGAGCTCCTCCTTGGGGAGAGCAGCCGTCGCCGCGGAGGGCGCACCTCGTGCGGGGCTCCCTTGAAGACGCTGGCAGACTGGTAGATGGTCTCGGTGCACAGCTTGAGGTCCTCGTTTTCCAGCTCCTCCGCCGTCCTGTACAGAGACTTGGGCACCAGTCCGCCCTCGGGCACTTCACACTGGAAATACAAACACAGCAATAAAAGCCACGTGCAGACACAGGAACCCCCGGGCACTGTGCCGGCAAGGGCCACGTCCCAGCAAGCTCGGCTCCTCCGGGCTGCTCAGGAAGTGGAAAACACTGGCAAGGTCATACTCTTCTGCAGGACTTAGCAAACTAATTTTTAAGAACCTCTTCAACACGTGTCTTACTTTAAATAAATGAGAACAAGCGGAAGCTGATTTAGCACAGAATTTACACTAATATTTATGAGGCACTGACCTCAATTTCTAAAGCTGGTTTACGTAAGAACCACAAGCATTTACACTGCCCTGTAAGAGGCAATGATACATTCAGAAAAGCTGGATTCTCAGCAACGACAGGCATTTCTTCATTACGTGCAGTTACCGTGAGGATACACATAACCAGCGAGGAGAGCGTCGTGTCTGACCTGTGTCAGGGGATTGGCCCACAACACCAGATGAAAAACAACAAAGGAGAGTTTCTTCTGAATCCACTGCAAACAGGCTAAGTTGAATGAGAATCTGTATTCCATACATTTCCTAGCTGAGCCTGAGAGAATGATCGGGACTCAGGCTCACAGCACCTCAGCACGTGTCGCAGCACAGGCCCCAGGAGGCAAGGACACAGGGAACCCACACGACGGTCTCCAGCCAGCAGGCAGCGAGCCTGGAGACCTGTCCCAGCACGGCGTCCTGTTAGGGGCATCGGACGGCCGCGCGCAGGGATGCGCAGGGCGTGGGGGTGCAGGAGGGCCCAGAGCACGGGCGCCGGAGACCGGACGCTTGGACGAAGGGGGACTCTCGGCACAGTGGTCATGGCACGGTGCTCAGTGCCTGACAAACACGGTCCGATCTGCCAGGAGCTGGGACCCCCTCGGCTCCAGCTCACAACAGAAGGAGCGGCCACTTGGGACCGTTCTCACAGGCAGCATGAGGCGTTTGTGGGATGCTGCACGCCTGACCTCCCAGCTCAAAGTCACGGCACCTGGGAAGGAGGGCCCTGTAGCTCACCGGCCCCTCCCACTGCACCGTGACGCTGCCTGCAGCGCACGACCGACGATACCTGAAAGCTGAATCTGAACGCTCCTCTACCTGCCCGGAAAGATTCCTCCAGAAGCCCAGCTCGTTAGCTAATAAATACGCGTGTCAAACCCAGTGGGTACATATCTGAAACGGGTAACTTTATTCACCATGAGGATGACCAAGATCCTCCTCTAACAAGAGCCGGATCCCCCTCCGGCATCAGCTGTCACTTCAGGAAGCCACCTGGGCCTCCACAGGTCTCCTTCACCCTCGGGTCACCCTCTGGGGGCTCTCAGGGCCTCAAGGACCCTCGTCACAGTTCAGGGCACACAAGTGGAGGTGTCTGGCTGATAATCGAGCAGCTCAATGTATTAAAAAACCCCGATTACAGAAGAGAAGTGGTTCTCTTAGTGTGTCCCCTTCGACATGTTGTCCTGATTACTGTCTGGGGGGACATCTTGGAGAATCATCCGGAGGTAAGTGTTTTTATAAAATGCACAACCCCCTCGCCCCACCCCCGATGGTTAAATCTGATCCACACAAAGCTGAGTGAATAAAGCAAGCTACAATCACATTAGAGTCTAAAACAAATCCTCATCAGTACTTAACGATGAAGAAGCGTGCGTGTTATCAACAATGACCTCCGTGGTTCTATTTAGTTCAACCCGGGGTCAGAGAAATGTCAGCCAAAAAAAAAAAAAGAAAAAGAAAAACAAAAGAAAGACAGTAACCCAAACTAAAGGTTCTGAAAATCATTTGTACCCACCAACACCCCCCCCCCCCCGTAAAGCAGCCAAACACAGAACTACTTGCCTAAATACATACCATGCACTCCCCGCTCAGAAAATCTGGAATAATCTCTTTATCAATGTAATCCAGCAGGCCGCCAGGACCCTGATAGTCGTTTCCTGCGTAAATCAGGAATTTCCTTCTCGTGTTGTCGTCGATGAATGGGCTCACCTGTAGGTAATGAGAGACGACCATGGCTTAACGACTAAGACGGCAATGTGACCGTATGAGCGGGCGGTGGGGGTGGAGTCGGGGAGGGGGTCTGACGGGACACTCGGGAACTCTTTCTTCCCTTAAACGGCTGAGAAGCCGTGGATCTTTCCACGTTTGTTTTGTTACTTCCTAACCAGTCAGCGCTAACGGTCAGGGATGCACGCGTGTGTGGAGCACGCCCACCTGCCTTCCAAGTGGCTCTTCGCTTCTGCGAAAGGGCGTCCAGACCTACCAGAGTCCAGAGGACGGGAAACACCCTGGGGGCGCGGAGAATGAGGAGGCGGCCGAGCGTCTCGGGGTAGTTGGCCTCCACCACCTCTATGATGCGCAGCAGGGCCTTGACGCCGGGCCGCCACAGGTGCCGCATGTTCAGGCCCTCCAGGTCCACCAGGCAGGTCCACGAACTGCAGGCGAGCAGACAGGCGGGCGACTCACCAGGCGGCCCGCTCGCCAACCACGTCCTAAGCTACTGCTATTGTTTCTGCTTTTTGATCTCGGAAAACGGTCCTTTGTATACATTTCTGAGAATATACCAGTGTCTAAAACCTAAAGTGTTACAGCCGTATTTCTATCTGCTTACAGAAAGGACACAGGCTCAGGGTGGCAGGACCCGCCCCCCAAGCAGCAAAGCGTCCCCGGCTTGCCGATCACAGCCTCACCTGGGCGCGCTCGTGACCAGCAAACAAGGTGACGTGCTGCGCGTGACACCCTGAGCCACCTGTGCTGACCCAACAGGGCACAGGGCTGGCTTTCTAAGGCGCGCTGTGATGAATCACAATACACTCCTCTTTCGCAGGCATCCACCGAGTCCGGCCCAGCCTCAGGAGCCGAGAACACGGCAGGGACAGAAATCCCTGGAAACCCCCTCCTGTCACGGTGGAACTCACATTCCAGTTAAGCTGTGCCCCTGCTAGTGTCAGCCCCTGCACCACCGCACAGTCCCAGAATGGTCTAGAAATACGGAGCAACTTCTTTGCACCCCCGGGGCTCCCAAGGACCACGCAGCCTAACCAGACAGGCTGACCCACCCGGAGGGAGGGGACAGCAATGCCCTGGGGTCGGGAGTGACAAAACCCAGCACCCCCGCCCCTCCCAGAGGACCATATTACGTGGCTGTCCATCTTCTACTTCGGGAACACTGCGGAAAGCAGGCTACTATTTAGATTGGGGTCTAAAAATCTAAAAGCCTACAAATCAAACCAGATTTTGGTCCTAAAAGTCAACTAGAAGTATTTAATTCATATTCTCAAGAAGCCGGAAGGGAAAACAAAACCAACACCCACCTGATGGGTCGACCAAAGACTTTTGTGTTTTCTTCACACCGTCTCAGCCCCTCTTCGTTTATGGAGAGAACCTATGATTAAAAGGGCCATAAAAAGCCCCACAATGAGTCTAAGTAACGCCACTGTGACAAGCTAGGAAACAAAGTGACAACAGCACAGCCCATTTTAGGCAAGCGTGTCAACCCAGAGAGTCACCCATTTAGATGTTCTGACACACGCGTACGCACAAAACCATGCCTGACAAGGACTCTCTCTCTCCACAGAGGACGAGCACGTCCTGTGGGAGAAGGTGACAGCCACGTCCCGTGAGAGCAGGGCTAGGTGTCACCGGATGGGCGGGGAGGGTGTGCCCTGCTGACCTGTCTCTGGAACCCGCGCATCTGGGGTAGGGGGAGGCAGCTGCGAGCGGGGGATGCTCTACCCCGCTCGGAAATCCACGAGGAAGGGCAGGGTGAGAGCGGGCCTGCTGCGCGGCTAAGGGGACTCGGATTTGGATTCACAAACATTCCCCTAGAGACACAGTCCATCCATGTCTTTATGTGCGCGCAGGTGTACATGCGGCCAGGCGTGCGTGCACGTGTAAGCACTCACAGAGTGGCAGGGCCAGCACAATACACAGCAGATATTCGAAGACAACGGGACTATAGATTTGTCTTTGAAGTTTTTGTCTGAAGAGTGCCTGGGCTTCAGCTCAGGTCATGATCTCGTGGTCCATGGGCTCACGCCCCACGTCGGGCTCTGTGCTGACAGCTCAGAGCCTGGAGCCTGCTTCACATTCTGTGTCTCCCTCTCTCTCTGACCCTCCCCTGCTCACAGTCTGTCTCTCTTTCTCTCTCAGAAATAAACATCTAAAAAATTTTTTTATAAAGTTTTCATTTGTTCTTCAGCTTAAGGACAACACTCTTCCCCCAACTGCCCACACTGTAGGGCTGATGGGGACGTGGGGGGGTGGGGGGGACGGAGTCCAGGGGGGCAGGAGGGAAGCATTTCTAATAGTTCAGATGGGAGAGGTCAACCCCCGCCCCCGCCCCCAAAAGGCCGTGCCGGGGAAAGAATTACCATGAAGAGGTCTGACCTGAGACACATCTCGAAACGAGAGGAGAGGGGAGGGACCAATTCAGTGGAAAGAGAGGGCTCCAGCTCGGCCCCCAGAGGCCCTGACGAGTGGAGTGGCTGTAATGATTTTCTGCTCACGTTTTCCTGTGGACAATATCCTAACTTCTGTGCCCTCTTCTGAAATGCTACAAACATACTAAGAGATTTCCGTTCCTAAGTGCAAAAGCGCTCTGCGCTGGCCCCGAAGGACAGCTGCGACGTGGCCCCTGCGCTGGCTGAGGAGGGGAAGGAAGGGAGCAGCGGGCGCCCGGAGGCACTTACGTATCGCAGCAGGGCCTCCTCCCCGAGGGCCCGCACCAGACCCTTGGTGTCCATCTGTCCCAGCCTGAGCACGTAGAGCGGCCGCCCGTCTACGGGGAGGAAGGAGAGCATCATCAGCGCCGGGCCCGCCGAGAGGCCAACCATGCAACTGGGGGAACCTCAACGAGGGGCGAGCTCTCCCGCCGAGAAGCCACAGTGGGCTGTGTGTGTAGGGGGACCCCCCAAACCGCCGCCCCGGGTCTGGGGTGCCCTGTGGAACCCAGCCTCTGTCCGGCCCCCCATCTAACCGCCAGCAGGGACCGGGCTCGGCCTCCCCAAACCACCAGGAGCTTGAACAGATCCGCCGTTCAACGGCAGGGGAACCTCAGAACAGCCACGCCTTTTTCGTGAAGATGGAATATTTTAAATTTCTTATTCTTCAGGGAAAAAATGCTTTCGTTTCATGGACTGTCAAATGTTAACATCTTGATTTTTTTTTTTAAAGTCAGCTTCCCTGGATTCCCACCCAAAGGATCAAGGAAAACAAGGACTTCCAGGAAATCTTCACATTCACACCAACCAGCACACGTGGGCTCTGGGTGTTCACAGCCCGGGGGTCTAACGGATGGAGCCTGAGAGGGACCTCACGGCTCTGCGGACGCCCTGTCACAAGCCAGCCGCACAGCCGCAGCCACAGTGTGGGTCTCAGGGGCCACGGCGGGTCCCCGAGCCACAGACTCTGTACGTTCTAGACCCTGACGCTTGTTACCACAGGGGAGCGGGGGAAGGGACGGGAATGAACCCGCTCCCGACCAGCCCCGCAGACCTGCCTTCTGTGGTCCACGGGGGGCCGGCACACTCCTCTGACAGAGGGCCCGACTCCTCCTTGTGTTTATTACCTGGTGAACCTCATTCACCGCCTACAGGGATCTGGCTCTAGACTGTTCTACTTAAGACAAAAAGGTCTCTGCGCTCCCAGTGTTGTTGAGGAAGATTTCTCACAAGTGTCTCCCAACGCCTATAAAATACATTAATGTTTTACCACCACGCTTTAGTCTTTGAAGGGTCAGCAGACAGAATAAATAGACGTTTCTAGTAAAAACTAAGGAAGCTATAATCAATATGGAAGAGTACGAGAGAGACGACGTCTGGAAAACAGACGCATCCGGGCTGTTCTGTTTGGGAAGAACCAGCTGCGAGGGAGGGCAGGCCAGGGCCGCCCCGTGCCCTCTCCGCGTCTGCGACCCGTTGTGTCTGCCGCCCGCCCTGAGCCAGGGCACACGCGCACGCCTCTGGTGATGCCAGCAGCTCGGCACGTACGTAAAACGGCCGAAGCGAACTGTGCACACTCAAATCCCGCTTCGTTTCAGGGGAACCACTTCCTGAGCTGGGTTTTGCTTCCTCCCTAACACAGCTGCAGGTCCTCACTGTTATGATGCAGAAAACCTGGCTGCACGTTTCTACAGATATGGCAGGGGTTCCAGTCACCAGAAAGCCCCTTTCCCAGCACCGTGCTTCTGAAAAAACTGCCGTCAAAGTCACGGTTTTAAGATCAGCCAAAACAGGGGCGCCTGGGGGGCTCAGTCCATGATCTCACAGTGCGTGGGTTCGAGCCTCGCGTCGGGCTCTGTGCTGACTGCCAGCTCGGAGCCTGGAACCTGTTTCGGATTCTGTGTCTCCCTCTCTCTCTGACCCGCCCCTGCTCATGCTGTCTCTCTCAGAAAAAAGAAAACATTTTAAAAAATTAAATAAATAAATAAAATCAGTCAAAACAAAGGCCATGCGACTGAGAAAGGAGGTGAGGAAACTTGGCGGCTGACGGGGGTGACAAGTGGGCGGGGGGGGGGAAGGAGCGGACAGCCCGCGCCTGTGCTCCTCAGGGGCGCAGAGCAGGGGTGGGGGTTGAGGGGGGAGCTCCCGAGCGGGTGGGGAGTGCGGGGCTGGCCGCGAGAACGGGAGCCCCTCTGCCAGGCGAGGGCGGGAGGGATCACCCACAGGCCCTTTGGCCCCGAAGCGCCCGGGCGGCCTGCGCACCTCTGTCGTGATGGTGCCAGCCCCCCGCGTAGTAGTCGTGCAGGACCTGGGGGGGGGTCCAGGTATCCAGGATGTAGTCCACCTGGTGCTGCTTCCGCCAGGTCAACGACTGGCACATGATCTCCCTGGCTTTGTCGATGTTGAAGTCCCGGGCACGTAAGAACCGAAGGATGTGCTCATCTTTCGGGATCTGTGAAGAGAGTAAGCTGTTTTTAAGCAACATTAAAAGCTACTAAGGGAAGAAAACCAAGTTACTAGGGGAAGAGAACTCTACAACTCACTACAACTCACAGTGCGTCCAGAAGGAATTGCACTATGGCACTCAATCAGCCGTTACTAAAAAGCCCCCCTCAGTGCGTTAGAAGATCACTACCGCTAACCTGAATCATCTTGCCAGAACTCTATTTTAGCGTCTGCAAAGCAGAGCGAAGGCATAAATCATCTGTTAAACATCAAACGCCTCGGCTTGCTGGCCTGATTTATGACTGTGATCTGCGTGCACTTTTCCGTATTACACTTGAACAAAAGTCAGAACACCGAAGTGTTGGTCTTGGTGGCAGTGGTGATGGTGTTCCTAACACACAGCAACCTTCTCTGGAATCAGCTATAGGACAAGTCAGCTCCTCCGAATGACAAACAAGGCCAAGACCGCGTCTGAGTCTTATCCGGCCCAGCCGTCTTCCTCCACAGCTACAACCTCGCTGACGCATACCACTGGTACACGGGAGGGGGTGGAGGGTAGGGAAGGGGGAGCCTTCTGAACACCCCACCGCTGGAAGGGTAACTCAAGGCACTGAGAAGGCACTGACGTCACTCAGAAAGGACCAGCATCACACGGATGCAGTAAAGAACATTCTAGAATGAAGGTCCTGGCTTCAAACCTTCACGCCAGCACTTCCTCAGTGGAAGACCTCGGGCAAGTTACTTCACTGCTCTCTGCCTCCGTTTCCGCATATGTACAACGGGGTGGGGGCGAATATCCCCATCTCAGAGGATGCTGGGAGGGTCTAATAAAGATCGTGAGAGTGTCCACCACATGGTAAGCGCACAGCCAACGGCAGCCAGCCATGTTAGGGCAGCCGTGCTCCCGGTCAGTGCCACTCAGCAGCCCTCAGGCTCATAGGCTCTGGTAACCAAGGCCAGCAGAGATCAGCGTAGGCCGGCTCCTCACAATGCCCAGCTTCCCTTCACTAAGTGATGCCAGTAACTAGCGGGACACCCCCAATGTGCCTGTGCTCACTTCTGGTCCCCCGTCAGCATGAGGCTGATTAGAAAAACCTGATTCCTTATAAGGCTAAACCTAAAATTTTACCAAAAGCCTCAAAACTGAAATTCAAACATTTCTGATTTTGGGATAATCCACGAACTCCTTCCAAAGCTTGTGAAAATTAAAATGTCTGAATATCTAGAATATAACATTGCTTTATAATTTAACATGCAATTTTTTCAAAGATTTTTTCTTTTTACTTCTAAATTTTTTAATGATATTTATTTGTGTGTGTGTGTGTGTGTGTGTGTGTGAGAGAGAGAGAGAGAGAGAGAGAGAGACAGCATGAGTGGGGGAGGGGCAGAGAGAAGGAGACACAGAATCCGACACAGGCTCCAGCCTCTGAGCTGTCAGCACAGAGCCTGGCACGGGGCTTGAACCCAGGAACCTCGAGGTCATGCCCTGAGCTGGAGTCAGACACTTCACGGAGCCACCCAGGCGCCCCTAGAGATTTTATTCTTAAGTGATCTCTGCACCCAACCCAACGTGGGGCTCACACCCACAGCCCTGAGATCACGAGCCACTGGCTCCACTGACTGAGCCAGCCAGGCGCCCCACATGTTAACAGTCTCTAAGTGGGACCTTCTCCGGTAAACAGGAAATCCAACGGCATCTCCAGAGAAGGGCATGGCGACCTGGACTGGGGTGCCACTGGAGAAACCCAGTCCTGCGCCCCTGGGACTGGAGGGGCCGCCCCAGCTCTGGCAATGGGACATGCAGCCCGGGTGACAGTGGGCCCACAGCTCCACGGGCGGCCCCACCGCACATGGGAGGGGAGGGGGGCTCACCTTGCCCTTGTGGGTCTCCTGGAGCCACTGGCGGAGGCGGATCAGGCAGCTCTCCTGCAGCGGCGTCAGGTCCCCCAGGTACCTCTTGATGTAGTCGGCATCCAGCTTGTCTGGAACAGAAGTCACATGACGACACTTACAATGAAGAACGCCGGAACCTGAAGGCTCCCAGTCGTTCTGCTCCGCAAAGGGCGGTCCTCCTGTCGCAGGACTGAACGACGCCGCGGGGACAGCGGGGACAGCCGGCCCCCCCGGAGCCCCTCGGTGAGCGCCTGTACGACCCAGTCCCTGAGCGGCCGCAGCCCCACCTCCCGACTCCGTCTATTCCCTGGGCGGCCTCGGGTCACTCTATCTGCACAACCTCAGGACCACTCAGGATGCAAGAAAAGCGATCACAGACTTCAGTGACTGTGTCAACTCAAACTTACACAAAGAAGACCTACGTGATGGCAAACCGTGGGATAGAACAGCAAGTGCACTTGACCCTGTTCCGCGCGCAGCTGCTGTGCTTAAGAATACGAGAAATCAGGGGCGCCTGGGTGGCTTAGTCGGTTAAGCGTCCGACTTTCGCTTAGGTCATGATCTCGCGGTTCGTGGGTTCGAGCCCCACATCGGGCTCTGTGCTGACAGCTTAGAGCCTGAAGCCTGTTTCGGATTCTGTGTCTCCCTCTCTCTCTGACCCTCCCCTGCTCACGCTGTCTCTCTCTCTCCTAGAAATAAATAAAAATATTTAAAAAAAAAAAAAAGAATACAAGAAATCTTCTTCGGGCTGAGGTACCATGAATACAGCGAACATTCACATGGGGGAAAATTCAACGTGTCCCCAAACCAATTAAAGTATCTGCCACCTGCTGCCTACCGGAGGGTTAAGAAATGGCAGTGTGGCTGCAGAGAGGATGCACGGGAAGGGAAATACCAATACCTGAATGAAACCTAGGAGTGGCCGACTTTTCTTGTGTGCTTTTACAACGACGGCACCCGGAGGAAAGAGAGGTGCGCATGCGTGTGTGTGTGTGTGCACGTGAAAGGAGCACAGCACAGCGACCACGAGCAGGCCCCAGAGCCACCTCATGCAGCCCGAGCCCCCCACCAACTAGCCGCTCGGCCCTGCAAGTCCCTTGGTTCCTCCGGGCCTCAAGGAACCCAGATGTAAAATGACAGTAATGAGCATTTCCTACCTAAGAGGACCATTTTTTTAAAAAAATATTTTTTATTTATTTCTGAGAAAGAGAGATAGCATGAACAGGGGAGGGTCAGAGAGAGAGGGAGATACAGAATCCGAAATAGGCTCCAGGCTCTGAGCTGTCAGCACAGAGCCCAACACGGGGCTCGAACCCACGAACTGTGAGATCATGACCTGAGCTGAAGTCGGACGCTCAACCGACTAAGCCACCCAGGTGCCCCTAAAAGGACCATTTTTAAGTGAGTAAATACAAAGCGCTTAGAACAGGGCACAGAGCGAGCCTCAAGTACCTGATAAGGCTACAGCTGCGTTAAAAGGATCAGCTGCTACCTTTCAATCAAAATAAATGAAAAACATTTCCTGGTTTCAATAAAAGAATGTGATAGAACTCTTCCTGCCCATTGAAGGAAACTTTTCTTCGTTCTAAAAAAAAAAAAAAAAAGAACAAAAAAACTACAGCGTGTTACCTAAGCCAGAGGAAAAGGGACAGTAACGAAATGATACGTCCATGTCCCAAGAAGGCGAGAAGAGGCCGAGTGGCCGAGTAGCCGGAGGGAAAGGCCCCCGCCCAACCCCGGCCCCGCTCCCGGGACGCCGCGTCCTTCACACCCACCGTCGGGGGTCCCCGCGGCCGGCTCGGGCGGCGCGCTGGGGCCGCTGAGGGCCTCGCCGCCCAGCCCCTCCGCCTGGGCGGCATCCGGGACAGCGGTGGCCGGGGACACGGCCTGCTTCCTACAGGCGGACGGCATCTCTGAAGAGGGAGCAGTGGAAGGCGGAGTCCAGCGGGGCACGAACGTTATGCCTTCTTCTTCCAACTGACGAAGATAGTACTCAATGATTTCTTTCCCCTTGAAAACAAAACCAATTTGAAGGGCAGTATATTTTCAACATTCAAATTATTCACCTTCCCCCCCTATCGATTTTTAAAACACTAACAAAACCTGAATTGCCATAGAAGCTATCTATGAAAAGAAAAACCAAATGTCTTTGTGTTCTGGTGTTTTATAATTATTTTACTTCCTCTTTTCCAAAAGTCTAGGAAGTAACATCTAAAAAGATGGAATTTTTTTATGACTAATTAAGACACCAATTTATCACACTTATACTCAATCTGTGCTTTGTGTCTCGATCCAAGTTCCTTCCAACAGCCCGAAAATAAAGAAGGCCTTCAAAACGCACTCACGATCTCACACGGATGCTCTCAAAACCAAAACCCCACGCCAGCGCTAGGCAGCAGCGTGAGAATGAGGAGTTTTCCACAGAAGGGAAGCCTAAAAACCCAAGGCCCGGGGACCCCCAGGATCCCCAGCAAGCATCTCCCCCCGCGGCTCCTCCTGCCCACAGACCCCGAGGTGGCAGCTGGGGGCGCCGCCAGCCGTCGGCCCCCACCCCACCCTCCCCACCCCAATCTCCCAACGATCCTCAGCAGAGGGCGCCGAGGCCGGAGGCCACCCGGTCCCCCTTGTGTCATTGGAACCAGTGGTGTCTGACTCCTGTGCGACCCTTCCCCGCCCCGGAACGCAAGGCCCGGGGTAAAGTCAGAGCATGTCCTTGTCACGAAATGGCCAGGATCCCTGACGGGCCCGTTTCCAGCCTTCTGAAAACACTGCCGGCCACAAACAGCTCAGAGGCCCCGCCTCCCCTTTTCCACAAAGCCCCAAGCTGGACTCACTTTCTTAATGTTGCTGGTATACTGTTTCATCGCAATTTTTTCCACCGTACTTTCAAAACCAAAGAAAGATTTAATATCTAAACTTGCAGACTGTTCAAAACAGGTCCAATCTTCATTTTCAGGGTGAACCTGCAGAGAAACAAGAAATCGCTCCCATTAACTACGCTGACAACTGACAACAGCATCTGTCTGCTCCTCAATCAACCAGGAGCCAAAGGAAAACACTCTACTAGTCATGTTATTGTCATGAAAGCAGCAGATGGAAAAATTACACAGGGAGGTTCAAAAATCAAAAGACCTAAATATTTGTAAAATACTCCAGGAAAAAAAAAAAAACACTAAAAATGACTGTTAAAAGGAGAGCTCCATGTTCACTCTTGGTTCGCTCATTCGCCGTTATTTCCGGAGCAGTGCTCTCCATCGTAAACAAGACAAAGATCCCTGCTTTATGCAGCGTAGAGTCTGGAGGGGAGACAGCCGATTAGCCATGAACAGAAGAGGTAAGAAATTTAAGACAAGCACTAAGGGAAAAAGGAAAAGCTGGAGCAGGTTAATGAACGGGGGGGGGGGGGGGGGGGGGGGGGGGGGGGGGGGGGGGGGGGGGGGGGGGGGGGGGGGGGGGGGGGCAGCAGAATTGAACAGGGCGTTGAGCTGGTTTCCTCCAGAAGGGCGCACGTGAGCAGAGCACCGTGAGCACGGACTGAAGGAGTGTGGGCTGGAGCCCAGCAGGGGCCTGGGGGCTCAGCGCTCCCGGCAGAGGGCGCCCTTGGAGCAGAGGTCCATAGGGGGAACAGAAGAGGGTGTGCAGGCGTGTGCACAAGGCAGGCGGGACAGCAGATGTGTGAGGAGAGGAAAGTGCAGGGCCCTGTAAGCCGCTGGGAGGCCTCTGGGCATCTCGTCTTCGAGAAATGCAGGAACGCTGCAGAAAGTATATGATCTGATATACTTTATTTAAATTTTTAATGTTTATTTATCTTTGTGAGAGAGCGAGCGAGCAAGCAGGGGAGGGGTAGAGAGAGAGAGGGAGACACAGATTCCGAAGCAGGCTCCAGGCTCTGAGCTGTCAGCACAGAGCCCGATGGCGGGGCTCAAACCCACGAACTGTGAGATTGAGACCTGAGCCGAAGTCAGACGCTCAACCAAGTGAGCCCCCTAGGCGGCCCTGATCTGACGTACTTTAAATGGATCACTTTGGATTCAGCGCTAAGGGTATGCTGGAGGACGGCAAGGAAGAAGCAGAGAGCCCCTGCTAGATGATTCTAGTAATGTGGTAACAAGTGAGGAACGGCGACGGCAGACCAGCCTGCTCCAGAGGTAGGCAGCACAGGCAACCTCCAGTCTCCCAGAGTCCGCACTCGGCCCCATCGCTTCCGCGAAAGCCTGGCATCTGCCCCCGTCCCGGCTAACCATAAGAAATCTGAAGAGAATTTCCTCTTTTAGGAAAACAGGTGACCGTGAAAACAGCAGTCACCATTTGTTTTGCACAAGCCATTATACGAAGCCAGCTCATGCCCCAAGCAGTGAGGGTGGCACCAAGCTCCCCCCACCCTCGGGCCCCCTCCCCTGGGAGCCTCAAGACGCCCGGGCTTAGAACTGGGTCTGTGGGCATGTGGGCTTCATCTCCACTGAGTCCGTGCATCTGTTAGCAAGACGTGCCCTACGGCGCCAGAAACACCGAAGACGTTATGCCTTGAACACACGAATGCTCAAAGGCCTTTCCGTATAAACTCACAACTGCTGCTCTGCTTTGCCCCGTTTCCAGCGTGTGAAACGCTTCACGGGAGCGCTCTGCTTTCAGGGACTCCGGGTCCTTCCTGCACACTTCTGAAGTGTCCGAGTGGAGCCGGAAAGGACGGGCAAGAGCAAGGGAGTATTTCTAAACAAACCAAGGCCTCACTGGGCCACCTTAACGGCCACAAGAGTGTGGCCCGTCCCACTGACCGCACCCCCCGGAGCGAGTGGCAGTCCGTGGTAAAGACGAGGCAGTGCACAGTCTAGAGCGACGGCCCGTGGTTCCCAGCAGCCCAGGCCCGCATCCCCGTGCCCCCACCCCTGGGGGGGTCACTCACAGAGTAGCAGCAGTGTTCGCGGATGATGACCCGGTTAGAGAACGTTTCGTTATGGGCTTCGATGTGCAAGGTGCGCTCCCGAGAATTCAGGGAGTTTTTCTGGACAAAATATACGTAATCGACTCCTGCGATCTTTAAAGAAAATAAAGAGAAAACGGACGTATTAATGACGCCAAGCGCAACAGAGGTTGTGCGTGTTAAGTTGGCCAGGCTCGGGGACGCCTGACATGTCCCCACGGGTACCTTCTTCAGCAGCCTTGGTGCATCTATGTCCAGCTTACAGCGCCTTTCTGTAATGTGAATGGCCCCGTCTTCACTCTTGAACTCGTTCACGGTGTCGCTGTCCACAAACATCGGAATCAAGGGGCACGTAGGAAACCTCCTTTCGTAGGCCTGCAATACATTAAAAAAAAAAAAAGGGAATTGAATAAAGATGCAAGCATCTCCCGGGGCGCCGGGGTGGCTCAGTCGGTGAAGCAGCCAACTCTTGATCGCTGGGCCGCACTCTGGGCATGAAGCCTCCTTTAAAAAACCCCCCACACAGCATCTCCTCACACACATCCGCGCGTTACCGCAGGGCCATCTTTGTCTTTACGTCATAAGCTTTCATTAAAAAGAAAAAGAGGTTCTGTGTTAAAGATTGGAAGACTCAGTGCAGTAACGATGTCAAGTCCTCCCACATGGTTATAGAGGTTTAACATAATTCCTATCAAAACTTCAGCAGGGTTTACTATTTTTTATGTTATAGACAAGATTATTTAAAAATGTATATGGAGGGGCACCCGGGTGGGCTCAGTCAGTTGCGCATCCAACTCTTGATCTCGGCTCAGGATATGATCTCCCGGCTCAGGAATGCGAGCCCCGCGTCCGGCTCTGTGCTGACGGTGCGGAGCCTGCTTGGGATTCTCTCTCTCCCTCTCTCTCTCTGCCCCTCCCCAGCCTGTGCTCTCGCTCTCTCTCAAAATAAATAAACTTTAAAAAATAAAACAAAGTTTACATGGAAAGGCAGAAGAACTGCAACAGCTAAAACAATCCTGAACAAAAGGACTCAGTTGGGAGGAATCACTCGACGCAGGGGCGGGACTGGTGCCGGCTGCACGGCCGCGGGGACCCAGGCGATGCGCTACTGGCCGCGGACAGACGCGGAGGCCAACGGACGGAGAGCCGTGAACTGACCCACACGAATATGCCCAAAGTGCAAGAGCAATTCAACGGAAGGAGACTTTCTGTCCAGCAAATCTTACTGGAGAACCTGCACACCAACGGGGGAAAAATGGACCTCAACCCGAACGCCACACCGTATACAAAAATTAGCTCAAAATGGACCGCGGACTTAACTTTCTCGGACAATCGGACAATCGTAGAAATGCAGAAGGATTAGCGGTTGCCTGGGGCAGGGGAGGTGGCTGTGACTGTCAGAGGGTAACAAGAAAGACACTTGGAAAACGCGGAGCATCTTCACTGCATCAAGGTCTACACCCTGGTCATGAGGACGTACCAGCGTCTCCCAAAATGTTATGGGGGAGGGGTAAAGAGCAGGTGGGAGCCCTCCGTGTCATTCCTCGTGAATAGCGTATTATTAATACATCACGAATCCGCAATAATCTCAAATTAAAAATCTGGGAAACAAAAGCTTCACTTGCTGTAAAATTCACCCAAAGTTTTGGAAAACGCACTCAGGCACCAATTTCGTTTACGGCGTAGCGAGTGCGTGGTGACCTGTGAGGACAACGCCGCCACCGACCCGGGTGAACTGACACTAAAACCTAAGCCGTCCCGCGGCCGGCCCCCGGGGCTGCAGGGACAGGAACCCGTGGCGGCCGGATGGCAAGCGTCTGGGCTCTAAGAAGGAGCCTGAGAAGGAGGCTGGGACCGGGACCGGGACTCTGGGGATGTGATGTTCCTACTGAAGTGACACATGTCACTCCGCCACCCGCTGTCCTAGAAATGGGGGTGGGAGGCTGACCTCCCCCCTTAAATGAATCACAGCAAGCACGGGTCTGAGGGGAAATGTACGCTGTTGAGAAGCACGGGCTGCCCGGTGTGACCTCTGACAAGGAGCCAGCCGTTCCGGAGCCCCCCCCCCCGCGCCGTCCTAAGACGCTCCCTCTCGCACAGAAGCGTCCTGATGTTGCCTGCGCACAGACCTGACGTCTGACGAGAGTACCCAGCTCACAGGGGCTGGAGCATGCGGGCAGCCTATTTTTTTTTGTATTTAAAAAAATTTTTTTTAATATTTCTTTTTTACAGAGAGAAAGAGGCAGAAGAGAAAGAGGGAGGGGCGGGGTGGGGGGGGACAGAGGATCCAAAGTGGACTCCGTGCTGACAGCAGCGAGCCCGGCGCGGGGCCTGAGCTCACGAACCGTGAGACCCACACGAGCCCGAGTCGGACGCCCCCGCCAGGCGGCCTACTGGTCGTCCCGCTCTAAGCGCCCGCGAAGCGCCGGCACGCCACCGGGCGACGCGAGTGTGCAAACCTGCAGCTGCGCTCTGCCGTCTCTGTGAGGCACCACGCCAGGCAGTGTGGGAGGCGGTGGAAAGCGAAACACACGGGTGAGGAAGGGGAGTCGGGGTCATACACGCGTGTCCTAAGCCTGAGCGAGTGCCACACAGGTGTAAGGAGAAAGAGAACACCCTGAGCTGTGGAGAGATGGTGGTCTGGGAAGGCTTCATGGAAGAGGAGGCATTTACACTGGGCCTCAAAGCCCAGAGGGTGTGTTTACAGTCAGCAAGGAGGGGAGAGATTTCTAGGAATGAGAACCCAGAAGCGTGGCCTCAGGGTAATGTGGAGGTGCGAGCAGGGACCCAAAGCCGGGCGGAGGGACGGTGGCCTGCGGTGGCACCAAGACAAGGGATGTCCCTGCTGAGCACAGCCCACGTGGTCACCCCCTGAGGGCACGGCAGGGGCGGAAGCCAACAGAAGGCCGGCTGTCCTGGGGCAGACCTGCCTCACAGGGGGGTGGGGAAGGAGGGAAGTCTACCACGTGACCAGAGTCGCCTTTTCAGAAAATTAGTGACAGTCATGCGCAGGGTGGTCTGGAAGAGAGCCCGACATGGTGACCAATTACAATTGCTTTTTAATTGTCTTTATTTGGGGGGTTGAAAACAGCCTTCCTATTTATCTACTCCCCTCTCCTCTTAAATACTTTCTACATCCCATTACCACGATAATCTTAATAAATCACACAGTATTCGTCTCTCAATGCGTTTTAAATAAACAACATTTAAGGAGTTTATCAAATAGCTCATGCGGCGCCTGGGGGGCTCCATCAGTCAAGCGTCCAACTTTGGCTCCAGTCATGATCTCGTGCTCCGTGGGTTCGAGCCCCACGTCGGGCTCTGTGCTGACAGCTGGGAGCCTGGAGCCTCCCTCGGATTCTGTGTCTCCTTCTCTCTCTGCCCCTCCCCTGCTTATTTATATGTGCTCGGGCTCGCTCACTCTCTCAGAAATGAACATTAAAAAAAAATAATCTTACTAGATAAACCAATGAATCCAGCTTTCTGTTTCTGTGCTCCCTTACCTGGGCCACTCTTTCACAGATAGATAAGGTTCACGAATCCTGCATATCGCTGGCACAGAAAAGCCTCACTTTCTAGAAGATTATAGAAAAGGAAGACTGCAAATCGCTGACAAAACTTTAGTCTCCGAAACTGCTTACGCAGGGACATCCGAGCCCAGGTTTCCAGCACAAACTAGCATCTACAAAGCTGCTACGGCCTCTGAAAAACAGAAGCATTCCAATCGTTTTAGAAACATGAACGCACATTCTGGTTTTGCCCGCAGGAAGGGCCTAGAAGCAACGACCCCTCAGCAGTCACAGGAAACGGCATCCAGAGCTCGGCCGCTGAGTACCGCCCGCGGCCGGACAGGAGAGCGTGCACTGTCAAGAGATGGCTGGTTACTAGTCGGGAGGGAAAGGTCACGGTGAATCTGAAGTACTTACCCGAAGTAAGGATGTGCTCGGCGACCAAGGGGGGCACGTCACAAGGACACAAGAACTGGCCAGAAGGGGATTCCCCCCCCTCCCCCCCCCCCGCCCCGTCCTGGGATCACTTGAGCACCAGGAAAAGAGCGATACTCAAGAAAAACGGGCAGGGGAGGAGCTCTTACGGACAAATGTCACCTAATAACCACAAGAGCAAACACCGCCGTTAGAAAACCACAAATCTGCAATGGCAGGTTTACAGTGACGGCTCAGCTGAGGCTCGACACGGGGCACGGTCGCGGAAGAGATGGCGCGGTCTCCCTTCGCCCCGCGTGTTGTCAGGTACAGATATCCAATCTGTCCCTTTCTAATGGAAAGATCTAGCAGACACCACCTCAGGCCAAGAACTTAACTTGGGACCACCAAGGGGACAACCCGACGAGCAGCCGTGACAACGAAGCCACGCACGACCCACGCACACCTCACAACAGGAAGGGGCAAAACAATCGAGCCAAGTCCAAGTCACGGGGTGCCGCGCACCACCACTGGCCCGGACTCTTAGAAAATGAAAAAGGATACTGTCTTGAAAGATGGACAGAAAAAGCGGAGAATGAAGGCAATTAGAGAGACAGGCGAGGCTGCCCTGGCTCTCTGGCTGGAATGAAAATAGCTCTAAAGAATATTTAGAGGAACGTGAGCGTGCATCACACACTAAACACCACCATTCTGTCGGTGTGACGGCCCGTGGCTGTGAGAACGAGGACCCTTAAGTAGCATTTCTATTCTTGGGCAATAACGCTGTGGAGCGTAGGGCAAAAGTGTGGTGACATACACAGCGTCTTTCACACAGGCTGCACGACCTCTGCTGTGTGTGCGTGTGTGCGTGTGCGTGTGTATGCATGCAAGATAAGGCAAATGTATTCATTTCTCTAAGTGGAAATGTATACGGGTGTTCACTAGACTTCACCAACTTCTTTAAACGTGGAAATTTCTCAAGGTAGAAAACTGGGGACGCTAGCGACAGAAGGGGACTTCGCAGGGAAGGGCCGTGTGGACACGAGCAGGGCTCTTGCACGGAACTGGTCGAGGACGACCTTGTCGGTCTCACCCATGAAAACGTACAAAGGTCCAGGCCAGGGCAGAAGGCTGGGCGAGTGGTCCCCGGGGGCCTGGATGGCACCCCCCCCCGGCCCAGCCACTGGGGCTCTGGGGGCGACGTGGGCCCAGGGAGCCCCAGCTGCTGGCTCTTCTTGGGGAGACAGCGACCTGGATTTCCACGTGCGGCTCCCCTGTTTTGGAGACCTCGTCCATGCCCACGAGCCCACGTCAGCAGGCCTTCGGACCCCCCCCCCCACATCCATCTCTCCAGAACTGAGCAGGAGCCCAGGCTTCAGCCCTCAGCGGGTTCAAACCACCGCCTGGGGCGAACCACAGGAATTTCCCAACGTCTTATTTTTCACCAACTAT